GACAGGCCATAATAAAATTCAATAATAAAACTGCTAATAATAAAATTCAAGCTTCTGAACAAAAAATTAGAATTTTATAAAACTTATATCCACCATTGCTTTCCAAAAGTATTCTGATGAGATTGATGGTGATATTGATGAATATATTTTGATACTGTATAATCAAATGTATCAACATGGAGAAGATCTAGGTGAACCATTATTTTCTAAATGACCAATGCATGATGTTATAATATCATGCAAGGGTAAAAGATCCAAAGTTCAAGAAAAACCAAGTTTTGATGGAGTATCAAAAAAGAAGCCTAGGCAACATGGCAAAACCCTGTCCCTATAAAAAAAAAATACAAAAAATTAGCCAGGTAGTCCCAATTACTCTGGAGGCTGAGGTGGGAGGATTACCTGAGTCCCCAGAGACTGAGGCTGCAGTGAGCTGTGATCACACCACTGCATTCCAACCTGGGTGACAAAGCAAGACCCCATCTCAAAAAAAAAAAAAAAATATATATATATATATATCCGCAATAATCTAAAATGGCTATCTGTATGAGATTGGACATTGTTCACACTTTTTCAAGCAAATATCACACAATAAATTGAATGCAGATCAAATGACATACCAAATGTCAAAGAAATTTGCAAAAAATGTAAGATTGTGCTACTTTGGCTTTAGAAACTTTTTTTTTTTTTTTTTTTTTTGAGACGGAGTCTTGCTGTGTCACCCAGGCTGGAGTGCAATGGCCAGATCTCGGCTCACTGCAAGCTCCGCCTCCCGGGTTCACGCCATTCTCCTGCCTCAGCCTCCCGAGTAGCTGGGACTACAGGCACCCGCCACCTCGCCCGGCTAGTTTTTTTTTTTTTTGTATTTTTTAGTAGAGACGGGGTTTCACCGTGTTAGCCAGGATGGTCTCGATCTCCTGACCTCGTGATCCGCCCGTCTTGGCCTCCCAAAGTGCTGGGATTACAGGCTTGAGCCACCGCGCCCGGCCTAGAAACTTTTTCATAAAAACATTTATAACAATATGTGGTGAGCTTTTAAAGAATAGTTTAAATATTTCTGATTTAATTTCTAGTGATAAATACCAATAGATACAACCTACATAAACCAAAGCTCCTTGGGCCCTCAATATATTTTTAAGAGTATAAAGGAGTCCTGATTCCAAAACTTTGAGAACTGCTGCCTTCCCTTCCACTTTCTTTTGTTCCCTAAAATTTCTTCCTTGGAAGAAACATCCCTTTGCCATTTTAACTTACAGAGTTCCATTCAGGCCAGTTTTGCTACCTCCCTCCCATCTTTCCACCTCCCTCTCTTAACACAAAACCTGACTGAAGGACTCTACCAGCCCATCCCATTTCCAGTGATTAGCTGTCAAGGTGGGCTAAGCCAAGAAAATCTGGGTTTTCCCTGAGACTAGACCTCTTTTTCTGGGAGATCTGGAATCACAGGGACAAGGTTGGCTACCTTGGGGTAGTCAGAATTCATCTTGCCTAAATGGGGAGAGGTTAGGCAAGTTTCTACAAAGCCAAACTGCTTCCTAGAAAGTCAAACATAATTATACTTTGTGCCACGACTGTGAGAATGCCTTTTATGGCATACTTTCTAACATTTTTACCAAACTGATAAATAAAAGCTGGTACCTAGAAGAAAAAAAGGCCAGGCGTGGTGGCTCACGCCTGTAATTTCAGCACTTTGCGAGGCCAAGGCAGGCGGATCACCAGAGGTCAGGTGTTTGAAACTAAAAATACAAAAATTAGCCAGGCATGGTGGCGGGCACCTGTAATCCCAGCTACTTGGGAGGCTGAGGCAGGAGAATTGCTTGAACCCAGGAGGCGGAGGTTGCAGTGAGCCAAGATCACGCCATTGCACTCCAGCCTGAGTGACAGGAGCGAGACTTCATCTCAAAAAAAAAAAGTTTCCATATAATATAATTTGTTCCATCTCTAGAAATCAATTCAGCAATGAGAACTGAAAGCCATCACTTGAAAGGTTTCAATGATTTAGCTCTACCTAATGATGTCTAAAGCATTAGTTAAGGTAGAAAAAAATAACGGCTGGGTGCGGTGGCTCACGCCTCTAATCCCAGCATTTTGGGAGGCCAAGGCGGGTGGATCACGAGGTCAGGAGATCGAGACCATCCTGGCTAACACGCTGAAACCCCACCTCCACTAAAAATACAAAAAATTAGCTGGGCGTGGTAGAGGGCGCCTGTAGTCCAGGTACTCAGGAGGCTGAGGCAGGAGAATGGCGTGAACCCAGAAGGTGGAGCTGGCACTGAGCCGAGATTGCACCACTGTACTCCAGCCTGGGCGACGGAGTGAGACTCCATCTCAAACAAACAAACAAAACAAAAAACAAACAAAAATACACACACACACACACACACACAAATACACACACACCCCTATGTATTTAGTACTAGGAGGCATGACTGACTGGATGGTATAGTCATCCAACAGAAAGCACACAATAATTGAAGCCACTGTAGAGGAGTAAGTTATGACACGGGTCTCCAATATTATTGAGTGAAAAAGCAGATTACAAAAAAAAAATCTGATTTTTCAAGGAAGAAGGAACATATACAAGCATAGCAGAAAAGAGATGAGCAGATGACTGGAAAAATACAAGATTCTGATAGCGGTACCTTCTGAGTGGGAGAATTATCGGTAACATTTTCTAATTTTGCCTAAAAATTTTCTAAATTTCTTAAAATAAGAGGGCTTTGTTATCCATATTATAAAATATCCACCACTTCAGGAAACAACCTTCAGCATAACCTCTACAACATGTTCAGTTTGTTCAGTTTAATATTTAAGAGATAATCTATTTTGAAAGACATCTAAAATGACCAATATTTAAACCTATGCATTAATATTTTTCAATCATATGCTTTACATTCTGTAATTTTGATAAGGTTAAGCTTTATATCCATCTTGAAAAGGTAAGTTTTCTATTTGTCTTTAAAATATGACCTACAATATACCAGTTTTTAAACAGCAAATGGTGCTCAAAAATCACAATATAAATTCAGGCAGTGTACGTTACATAGAATGTTTAAGTGCTTCTAACCTGCTCATTTTCACAGGTTATGAAAACACATTACAATTATCTAAGCATCTAATTATTCAGGTCCTTTGTTTCTCCTCCATTCTATTAGTTTTATAGTAATTTTAAGGCCTGTGAGGATGAAGTTGTCTGTGACAGCTACCACAAAGGTTACTATAAGTGGACAAATTTCAAACAAGTTTATCACCACTACCATCCCCATCATAAAACTGTCTTAATCAAGGGTAACACATTTCAAGGTTAACCAAGACAACCTCTTTACCTGTCACTGCTTAAGAAAAGGATTTTTTGGTCTTATTTAGAAAAAACTTTCTCTATGTATTTTTCTCCATAAGTCCACTGAGACCAATGTGTGGCTCTATATCAAGCACCAGTCAGCAAAACTGCCTGCCAGAATGTTGTTTTTGTTATCTTTCCAAATGTAGGACACAGCTATCTTTTGATATCATAATTTTTTAAAAAATTGATGCACGAACTTCTTGAAAGTTCAGCCAGGCATGGTGGCTCACGCCTGTAATCCTAGCACTTTAGGAAGCTGAGGCAGGTAGATCACGAGGTCGGGAGTTCTAGACCAGCCTGGCCAAGACGGTGAAACCCATTTCTACTAAAACTGCAAAAATTAGCTGGGTCAGGTGGCAGGTGCCTGTAATCCCCAGTTACTCAGGAGACTGAGGCAGGAGAATTGCTTGAACCTGGGTGGCGGAGGTTGCAGTGTGATGAGATCGCACCACTGCACTCCAGCCTGGGTGACAGAGTGAGACTCCATCGCAAAAAAAAAAAAAAAAAAAAAGAAAAGAAAAAGAATAAAAAGGAAAAGAAAAGAAAGTTCAGATATACAGCAGTTGTAATTCTTCTGAAGGCTGGTTATGGGACACATTCATACTTTGCTGTTCAATAAATGTGGGGTGGAGAATACAGTAAACTGACAATTACCATATAAAATAAATTCTAAGTGCTCTGACAACAAAAGAAACCACACACACACACACACACACACACACACACACACACACACACGAGTTTTCCCTGCTAATCATTTTACAACGAAAACGACCAAGTAGCTAACACAGAGCCCATAAAAGCAGAGTAAAAATTCTAACACTTGGTAAAATAAAAATGCACATAAACTGTGATCTAAAAAAAAAAAAGCTTAAGTATTCAAAGCCAGACAGCAATTACAGCTACTGAGAACATCATTGTAAGCAAACTGAGGCAGAGAAAACAAAGGTGCTGATGAGGATTTGAACACCTAACCTGCAGGAACCCAGTGGATGGTTTCCTAGGTTCTGAGCTGGCATTGTCTTTGAGAATGATCTTCTAGAAGAGGTCACATAACACTGTCACAAAGGATCTGGAGAAAGGGACCCTTGCTTTATCACTCTGGCTCTCCAGTCATGCTTCATTCACATTTTCGTTTCTTACAGTCTTTCACATGAAGTCAATTTACAGACTTCCATCAAGCCCTTCCAGACCTTTTTGTACTATCCATGACAAGTTCTTGATGTTATCTCTGCACTTTTGACAAATTCTTAGCAGTTAACTTACAAGGCAGTTAAGACTTTTGTTCAAGCACAATATAGCTAGAATAGGGTCATACACTCAATAAAACAAATATTTACCAAGCATTTATTGAGTGAAAGATAAAAAACACAAAGTATAATTACAAAATATTCTGCCCTGCCACCATAAAACAAATTTAAAAGGCTTACAGAATATAGCATAACATGACCAAAGCAAAAATAGTAAGGACTAAGGAGGGGAAGAAGGGAAAATACCAGCATGAACTGAATATGATCCAGAAGAGCCTTGATGGCCAGACACGTAAAGACGAATTGGGTAGGGTTAAGGGGTGGAGGTAAGGGGCACATTCTACAGGGGAAAAACAGCTGATACAGAAGCCTGAAAGGAAAAGGTCAGAGCACCTGTACAGGACTCTTACCTGCCGCATCTATGGTACAATGTGCCTTTCCAGAACACAGCAGCGCGCAGCCAGGCTCCGGAGAGATGGATCGCTCACACAGCACCAGAGGCTGCATTTCAACTTTTCTTCCATCAACGCGCCCATTTTCATTGTTAGTTTCTCCTTAAACACAAATTCAAAACCAATTGGCTGAGCACGCAGGAACAAGGAAAACCTGACTGAAGAATGAGGCATTAAAACTTAAGGGCCTTGGGTCCTGGCGCGGTGGCTCACACCTGGAATCCCAGCACTTTGGGAGGCTAAAGGTGGGTCACTTGAGATCAGCGGTTCGAGACCAGCCTGGCCAACACGGTGAAACCCCATCTCTACTAAAAACACAAGTTAGCCAGGAGTGGTGGCGGGCGCCTGTAATCCCAGCTACTCAGAAGGCTGAGGCAAGAGAATCGCTTTAACCCGCGGACTGTCAAGAGACATAGGCTGCAATGAACCGAGGTCGCGCCACCGCACTCCAGCCTCGGTGACAGAGACCCTGCCTCAAAACAAACAAAACAAAACACCTTTTTTTGTTTGAGAGAAGTCTCGCTCTTATCCCCCAAGTTTGAGCACAAGGGCTCGATCTCGGTTCACTGAAACCTCTGCCTCCTGGGTTCAAATGATTCTCCTGCCTTTGCCTCCCAAGTACCCGGGATTAAGTCGCCTGCCAACAGGCCCGGATAATTGTTATATATTTTAGTAGAGACGGGGTTTCAGCATGTTGGCCAGGCTGGTCTCCAACTCCTGACCTCAGGTGATCCGCCGCCTCGACCTCGCAACGTGCTGGGATTACAGGCGTGAACCACTGCGCCCGCCCAAAACACCGAACATTTTTAAAGGCCTTTCCCCTTACCCGCCTGGGCTGAAAAAACGCCGGAGCCGCCCCGCACCGCCCTGTCGCGGTCTTGGGAGCAGGCTGGCTGACTGAGGGCGGCCATGGGACCCGAGCGGGCTTCGGCAGCCGCGGGCTCCCACCTCGGGGCGCGGCAACGGGGGCCGAGAGGAGCCAGCAGCCCCCAAGCCTGCCCCGCGCGAGGAGCCGGAGAGACGCGCCCTCCGCCTCCTCCCACCCAAGCCTCCCACCGTCCCGGGGGCAAGGGCCAGGCCAGTTGCGGGGTAAAGGGGCGGGGAACTGGGGCCTCTCCGGGGCAGGCACCCCTGTGTCCTGGGACTCCTGGCGCCCCTCTCTGCCCTCGCCCTGCCCCTTCATGTTGCAGCGGAGCGTGAGCGGCCGCTGCCGCTCCTAGTTCTTGTGGAAGATAGATGCTAGCAACTTCAGTTTGGCCATGAGCCCTGACACTCAACTCGGGCGGGAGGGGCGCGGAAGGGGAGCCTGTCCGGAACCGCTGGCATCTCGGCGACCATCGGCGGGGCCTCCTGGCAGAGTTCTTGCGGCTCTGCTTCTCCCCGCCGCCTCGACCCTCGTGGGAGCGCCGCTGGAAAATGGCAAGGGGCACGGAGGAGGCCTTGGCGGGAGCTGTGTGGCGGCCTGTGGAGCTGCTCCGTTTGTAACCCATCCACCCACGGGAGGCGCGGCTCCTGTCAAGCCGCAGCTTAAAAGGGCAACAGCACCACCGCCCCCGCTACCGCCTGGGAAAGGGCTGCCCCACCCCACCCCCGTCCCCGTCCCCGTCCCCGTCACACCTCGCCCTTCACCCTTCAACCCGGCGTGCCCCGCGCGCATCCGTTTTGGCGGGTGCACGAGTCCAGAGCGTGCGCGCGCCCCCGGCTGCCCCCTCCTCCCTTGACCCAGCACCTTTCTGCCTGACCCATCTGGTCCCTTCCTCACACTGGCTGACAGGAGGCTCAGGGAAGCACAACCACCAACTCGTGTGTGTGTGTGTGTGTGTGTGTGTGTGTGTCCCTGTCCCAAGGGAACAGAGCACTGCTGAGTTCAGGCTGATTATTAGCTCGTGGACTGTCAGCAAAATACAGTCACAAGAAGGCTGTGTGCTGATTTGTCTTTTGCGGTGATATCATGTTGCTCATGTTTTATGTTTTTCAGAGTTCATTAGTTTCTTTCTGTTCTCAGTTAATATCTAGCTCCAGAGATTGTGTAAGTAGAATACCCCCAAACTGAAAGTCACCTAGGGAAATTATAGGAAATGTATGTCACCCATTTAAACTATAGTTGAAAACGTGTACACTTTAGTTTCCTGTAGCCAACACTGGGTCATGGGTAAGGGCACAGGATCCCAGGGCTGGACTGCCTGGGTTCAAGTTCCAACTTAGTCACTTGCTGGCTGTGGAATACTTGACAGCTTTAAGCCTCAGTTTCTTTCTTTGTATTTTTTTTAACTTAATCCCAAATGTGACAGTAAGTCTAAGTTACTTGATCTGAAAAACAGAAATTATTCAATGAGAGTGTGAAAACTTTAGAGTTTTTAAAGGCACTGCCTGACTCACAAAAGTCCTCAGCTTTAGCGGTTATTGGCTATGATAATTATTGTGTTGGCTACACGTGCATTAATGAGGAAGGAGAATGCTCAGGGATAACAATCAAGTATCCAAATGATCTCATCAGACTGAGAGGGAGGCATATGTGTCCATGCTCATGTTTCAGCTCAGAGCCCTTTGTCTAGAAGGCTCTTGAACTCAGAGGCCCAGGCACTATCAAGTTGGCTTTGCTGTGGAGCCGGCACTTTTGTTCATCAATGAAATTGACATAATGCTTTTTTTCCCCCTACCACCAACCATGTGCCTAGAGTTAACTGTGTCAAGGGGAGCATGCTTCAGTTGGCTGGAGTGAGCAATTCAACTTGTGGAGGAATGAGAAATGTTAGTGCTGAGACAAGAAACAGAAAACCCCAGGGTAAGGTAGGAGTCATTGAAAGTCAGGCAAAGGAACTGGCATCCAGTAATGAGTTAGGCTTTGCCGGCCTCTGGCCCTACAGATGGCTCTTTGCAGAGGAAAATATTAAGCAAGGCCTAAGGGCAAAAATCCTAAGGGAATGTGGCAGTTCTAGGCTGTCTATGGAAGAGAAGCAGAGGGTGGCACCTGGTTGAAAGAGGGGGCTGGGGGACATAGCTTGAGCCTGTGTTTACAGATGGAGTCCCCTGATTCCTGCGACTGGGGAAGGAGATTGTGCCAGGATCAGGGGACCTCAAATCAGAACTCTTCCCACCAACACCCCTTCTTTTCAGGGCATCTTTCACTGCAAACAACAGATAAACTAGTTGGAAAGCTCAGCAGATTCTCACGGTGGTGCCTAGCAGGCCAGGCCTAGCTGTCCTTTAACCTGTGACTGAGGATGATGCTACTGCCTGTAAGCACACATTGGAAAATCTTTACATCCAGGGACATGCCATGTCCCACAGAGACAGCTGTGTATGGTTCTTTAGGTTTGAGGTGCTGTGCTGGTAATTGCCTTATAAATATGTAGGATTAAAATGGGATGCCCTGGAGCTTAACTAACCTTTATCCTCCCCCACTCCCCACCCTAAAACGAAGGGGCTGCTAGTTTTGTTTGCTTTATGAAAGATGGATCTGTCATTGTTTTTAGAACCTTTGGAGAAAGATTTCTTGGGAGGAAGCTATCCTGAACCCCCAGAGATTTTCTCATTTACTGGGCACCAGCTTTAGAGTCCTAGGTCTTCATCCTGGCTCAGCCACCCTCCAGCTGTGTGACCTTTGAGAAGTTGCTGTCTACACTGAGTCTCGTTGTCACCTATGAGTGGAGGCTGCTACATTGCTACTGTTTGGAGCACCTACCCCCAGGCACTCTTACAGCATGATGGTGAAGATAAAATGCAATAATAAGACTGAAGGAGGAGGATCACTTGAAGCCTGGAGTTCAAGACTAGCCTGGGCAACAAAGGCAGACCTCATGTCTGTGAAAATGTTTTTTAAAAAATTAGCTGGACTTGGTGGCTTACTCCTCTAGTCCCAGTTACTTGGGAGCCTGAGGTGAGACCACTTGAGGCCAGGAGTTTGAGGCTGCAGTGAGCCGTGATCACGTCACTGCACGCTAGCCCAGGCAACGGAGAGAGACCCTATCTCAAATAAATGGATAAGTCAATAAATAAAATAATAAAATAATGCATGCAATTACTACACTAGTACGTGATCAGGCACATGATAAATGCTCGATAAATGGTAGCCCCAATAAACTTTGTAATGTTTTGGTTGAGGGTGTTCTTTGGACTCAGGCCAGTGACAGAAGCATTGGAAAAGACTGATGTATATGATGGCTGTTTCCTGCAGGGACAGGCCTGTATCTCCAGGGACCCGAGGCATTGGCTCCATGGGGCACCTTGTTCTATTTACACTTGTTTTGGGCAGCACCGATTGCCCTAGGGCTAAGCAGGACTGCCACCACTGACTCGATGGCCAAGAGTATCCCCGTCCCCAAGCTAGCCATGGGAAAGCCACTTGCATCATAAGACTACAGGAAGTCAAAGGGAATAAAAAGCACAATTTAGTCAGCTACTCTCCAGTTGATGGGCAATAGATTTTTGCTATTTTGAACAGAGTTGTTAGGAACATTCCTTGTCCACATCCCCTGTTTTATATAGACAAGAATTTCTCTTGGATGTAGAGTAGAACTGCTGGGCTGGGAGGAGTGTGAATATTCAACCTTACGAGATGGAGTCAAACTGTTTTCCAAGGTGGTCATACCAGTGTATACTCCCAGCAGCAGTTCTTAAGAGATCTCGGGATCTCTATCTTCTGGTGATGTCACAAGGAGTCAAAAAGAATCTTAGCAATATACTATTAAGTGAAAAAAATAAATTCTAGAAGGATGCATACAGCATACTTTATATAACTTGGAAAAGAAACTGTATATACAGGCTGGGCATGGTGGCTCATGCCTGTAATCCTGACACTTTGGGAGGCCAAGGCAGGAGGATTGCTTGAGGCCAGGAGTTCAAGACCAGACTGGACAACATAGCAAAACCCTGTCTCACCAGACACTAGAAAAATTAGCCGGGTGTGGTGGTGCACACTTGCACTCCCCGTTATCCATGAGGCTGAGGTGGGAGGATCTCTTAAGTTTAGGTGTTCAAGGTTACAGTGAACCATGATTGCACCACTGCACTCCAGCCTGGGCAAGAGAATGAGACCCTGTCTGTAAAGAAAAGAAAAAGTAAATAAGTAAAATTTAACAACAAACTGTGGGCCGGGTCTGGTGTCTCATGCCTGTAATTCCAGCACTTTGGGGGACTGAGATGGGCAGCTCACGAGGTCAGGAGTTCAAGACCAGTCTGATCAGCATGGTGAAATGACGTCACTACTAAAAATACAAAAATTAGCCAGGCATGGTAGTGCACGCCTGTAATCCCAGCTACTCGGGATGCTGAGGTAGGAGAATCGCTTGAATCTGGGAGGCAGAGTTTGCAGTGAGCTGAGATTGCGCCACTGCCCACCAGTCTGGGTGACAGAGCAAGACTCTGTCTCAAAAACTAAACTAAACTAAAATTTAGAAACATTTTTAAAAGTTGGGTTTTTGACGAGATAACATTGACAAACAACAGGAAACATGACAACTGGTACTGCAAAATCTCAGGCCGGGTGTGGTGGCTCAAGCCTGTAATCCCAGCACTTTGGGAAGCTGAGGTGGGTGGATCACGAGGTCAGGAGATCGAGACCATCCTGGCTAACGTGGTGAAACCCCGTCTCTACTAAAAATAACAAAAATTACTCTGGCGTGGTGTCAGACACCTGTAGTCCCAGATACTCAGAAGACTGAGGGAGGAGAATGGCGTGAACACGGGAGGCAGAGCTGGCAGTAAGCTGAGATTGCACCACTGCACTCCAGCCTGAGTGACAGAGCGAAACTCCATCTCAAAAAAAAAAAAAAATCAACAAAACAACAACAAAAAACCAAACCCTCAAAGGATCACTAGTGGCTATTATTAGCAAATATATGCAAAGAAATAGGAAAACCTACTAAAAATGGCTAAATTTCCAGACACATCTAGACTACCAAGATTAAACCATGATGAAATCCAAAACCTGAACAGACCAATAACAAATAATGGCATCGAAGCGGTAATAAAAAGTTTCCCAGCAAAGAAAAGCCTGGGACCTGATGATTCACTGCTGAATTCTAGCAAATATTTAAAGAAGAACTAATACCAACCTTACCCAAACAATTCCAAAACGAGAGAAGGAGGGACTACTTCCAAACTCTTTCTACAAGGCTAGTATTGCCCTGATACCAAAACCAAAGATACATCCAAAAAAAGAAAACTACAGGCCAATATCACTGATGAATGTTGGCGCAACAATCCTCAACCAAATATTAGGTAACTGAATTCCACAAGCATTAAAGTTGGGGTGCAGTGTCCCAGGTTCACTCAACCCTTCCTGTTTTCCTCTCTGTGTGTGTCTACTTTGCTGTGTTTCTTGGTGGCAGCAGCAGTGGCAATGTTGGTGCGTGGGCCTCCCAGGACAAGGGGAAAGTGAGTGTGCCCTTTTCTTGCCTCCTGCCAGGCGTCTGCAGCCTGGCACAAGCTTTGTCCAGGTCTCCAAGCCAGGGACCCGGATATGTTCTTTTCCAATTTCTGGATTGGTAACTTGAGGCAAATTCTGGGCACTAGAGTCAGAACTAAGATGAGACTGAATCAAGGGAATCTGGGGTCCTGAGAGGCAGAGGCCTGAAACCGTCTAGAGCCATGTGGGGAGCTGGGTGCGTGTTCAGGCCAGTTGCTTCTCTCTGTGCCTCAGTGTTCCAGGTACCCTTGGAGGGGCTGAGATCCTAGGAATTCCTGGAGCCTGGCTGCATGGCCTGGCCACCCTGATGCCCTTGTGTTCTCCATGATAGGGCAGCAAAGCCGAGGAGAATGGCTCCGACAGCTTCATGCACTCCATGGACTCACAGCTGGAGCGGCAAATGGAAACAACCCAGAACCTGGAGGACTCCAACATGGCCATTGTCAACAACACCATGTGGGACCTCACGGTTGGTGTCACACCCAAGACCATCATGCACGTCATGATCAACAACATGCATGCACCGCCTCATGGGGACAGGGGGCTCCTGTGGCACTGGGGATGGAGATAGCCATGTTGGCCTGGGGGAGATGCTAACCAGCCCTATGGGACCAGGTCCAGGGTGGCAGACACGGTCCAGACCAGAGCTATCTCATGGAAATATAACATGGGACTGAGGACGGTGACCCATGCCTGTAATCCCAGCACTTTGGGCGGCCAAGGCGGGAGGATAGCTTGAGCCCAGGAGTTCAAGACCAGCCTGGGCAACATAGTGAGACCTGGTCTCTACAAAAAATTTTAAAAATAGCTGGGCTTGGTGGTGGCACGTGCCTATAGTCCTAGCTACTCGACAGGCTGACATTGGGGGATCACTTTGAGCCCAAGAGGCTGAGGCTGCAGTGAGCGGTGATCTCGCCCACTGTACTCCAGCCTAGCGACCGAGTGAGATCCTATCTCCAAAAAAAATTTATTTAAAAAACTGAGTAGACAGGTGTGCTGGTGGCATGATAGGTCCTGGGTCCCCTCCCAGACCTGTGACCTTGGACAGGTGACTTTTCTTCTGGACCTCAGTGTTCCTATCTGAGTGAGAAAAGGGCGGTGGGGAGGCAGATCTTTGAGTCTAAGCGGTGTAGAAGCTGTGTAGAAGCCATACTCAGGGCTCCAAGTCCAGCACACAGTCCTAGAAGGGCCCGGCAGGAGGCCAGGGCAGCGCAGGCGTCAGGTCCCGACCTCCTTCCCTCTGTGCCCACTCTCAGACCAAGGAGTTCATCTTCTCAGAGCTGCTGTCCACCCTGGCATCCTGAAATTGAACCTGCAGGACAACCAGGAGTCCTGTCCCTGTACTCGTGTGGGGACCAGAACACGCTGATGGAGGAGTCAGCAGAGCAGGCGCAGCGGTACGCCGAGATGCTGTGCATGCACCACATGCTGAAGGAGGCGCTCAGCGTCATCGGCAACATCAACAAGGCCACCATCAGCACGCCCACGTGGTCTGTGGACAACTCTAGGCTGCAGGTGCTGAGAGTCCTTGCCGGACGCAGGTACGAGGGCTGGCTCCCAAGGCCCCAAAGTCCCCCAGCCCCCATGGCTGAGCCTGGGGCTCTTGGAACAGGCTCTGTGCCCAAGCTGACAGACGTGGGTGCTCTCTGGAACCATCAGAAAGCTCATGGTTTATGGTGTAAGGGCTGAGAGCTGGGAGGGGGTTGTGTGTGGGGCTGCACTCTGAGGCGGCCAGAGGCCTAGGAATGTCATCCTGGGTACGCCGTACCTGTTGTGCAGTCTGAGTCATGCTGCCAGGGCAGAGTATCCGGCTCCCAGCCTGGGAGTGCTGAGAGCCAAATCCACTGCAGAGGAGGGGTGAGAGTCAGGGTCCCACCTCCTCTATCTGTCGGCAATCCAGTGGTGACCTAGGATAAAACCTCGAGAGTCCCATACACACGGTCAACCCAGAACACACCTCACAGGCCAGGTAGGGACACACAGCCCCCTTCTCTCCCTCCCAGGTCCCATCATAGCTGCCAGTGTGTGACGGAAGGCAGGGTCCCTGGCCCGCGCTGAAACACTACCGCCCATCAGCAGGGTCATTCACCTTGGCCTGTTGCTCCTAGAGGTTGCCTCCGCTATTCAACCAAGGGGACCACAGTGCCTGGTTGAGCTGCTATTGAACCAAGGGGACTCCCAGCTGAGCTCTGCCCGGCAAGCCCACCCACCTCCCCTGCCATGGACTCTCCCTCTTCTGCTTTTCCCAACAGGAAGGGCCCAGTCTCACTCTCGCGACCTGCAACCCCCAACAAGCTGAGGCTCCCCTATTAGACTTATAAGTCTATAGCCAGTGGCATCCGGCGGCCTGCCCTCCCTGCCTCCCCCAGGGTCCCTTCAGAGGATCCTGGGCGTTCTGACCACCCAGAGGGTTCTCTCGGCGATCACTTCAGCCATCCATCCCTTTTAGCTTCATCATCCTGGTTCAAGCAGTGTTCCGTCTCTATCAGGCCTGGTGGCTGTTGCGTTGGGCTCCCTGAGGCGAGAGGTGGTCCCGAATCAGTGGGTTGGAAGGCAGGGTGACCAGAGAAGAGGGAAGCCCAAAGAGGCTGAGCACTGGTCTGACCGGTGGGTGCATTATCTGGGTGCCATGGAAGAGGCCAGCGTGCGTGGGTGGGGAGGGCTGCCACAGCCCCCAGGCACTACCTGTGAAGCTCTGGCTCCTCCCTCCATCTTCCTCGCCTTTCCCTTCCAGCCCCTCTTTTCCAGGAACCTTGACACGCCCACACCTGTGCCCTCCCCTCCCCGACCCTCCCACAGCTGCTGTGGCACATCTGTGCTCTGCAGTTGCCTCATCAGCTCTCTGCTCACTTTTCTCCCTCCTGTTTTCTCTCTGCTTTCTCTCCAACTGCCAGCCGATCGGGTCCTGCAAGTCCATCCCATCCTGAGAGCCCCAGGCCCTCCTTCGACCTCTACCCCTTCTTCTGGGAGACCTCCCTTTCCAAGCCTGCTTGGGCGGCTGTTCTGTGATTTGACAGTGGCTCCCCCGGCCCCAAAGCCAGCCCTCTTCATCTGTGACTTGGTCTGTTGTAGTGGTGAGCTGACACTTCCAGGTGTGACTGTTGCTGAAAACGTGTGCCCTCCTCTGTGGTATGCCCCTGCCCTGTTCTATAAATATCTATAAATACACACACACACACAAACACACACACACACACCGCTACATGTGGCTGGCTGCCTGGCCTCTAGCACTGGGAATCAGTCACAATGCTGTCTTTTTGGAGTCTTGTGTGCCAATAAGAGAAAGCTGTCCCCTGACATTGCCCCTCCAAAGTGAAGCACCTCCAGTGAGCCTCCCTGTCCTGCCTGGCCTATAGAGAGCCAGCCCCCGCCATCCCTCCCACCCCCTACCAAGCATGGGAGTGCTGTGCAGGCAGCTGTGCGGCCTGACAGTCTCTACCAGTCCTGCTGTCCCTCACACCCATTTCTGGATGGCGGGGAAATGTGTCCTCTGCTGGCTGTGTTCTCTGTGGAGCTCAGGGGAGGGGAAAGGCCAAGCCATTTCTAGGGTGCTGTCGGGAGCGGTGAAAAGGCCATACCCTTTCCAAGGTTCACTTTTCCTGGAAAGCCCCTGGAGCTTCCCTGGCTCTTATCCTGTGAAGAAGGCTCTGGCCACCAGGGGGCAGGGCCATGAACGCAGCCTGGAGGGAGCCTGCGGGGCAGCCGGCGCTCTGGAGGGACAGACAGAAGAGGCCACCAGGTGCCGACGGGAGAGGGAGGCACGGGGACGGAATGGAAGACGCCTGGGCTGGGTGGAAGTCAGTGCCCTTAGGTGCTGGTACCTGTCTTCCCGGCCACCTCTAAATCAGGCTTCTGAGCCTGTTGGCTGTCAGGGTGGGACTGCGCCCCTCAGGCGCCATGGCAGTCCCTGTGGAATCCCCCAGGTGCCACCAGGCAGCATACAGGTAACAAGCCTGGAAGGTCCCCAACAGCCTAGCTGGACATGCTCAAGACACTCTGGGGCTCCTCATTTGGTGGCACAAACTCCAGGACCCATTGAGGGAAATGGGAGCACACCAGGCCGAGAAGTATGGTTAAATCTGTTTATTCTAAAATAAAAAGCAAAATAAACAGGAGTCGCATCACCAGGGAGCCACGACCCCATCCACGCCTCCTTCCTCTGTCCTATGCTAGCAATAAATAAGTTTCCCAGCCACAAATAATTATTAGAACCTCCTCCCCACATGCCAGCTCCAACCACAGCTAGGTACCATACAGGGGTGGCCCTACCCTCTGGAATATACAAAACGTTACACAGACAAAATGTGTACACTGGAGAAGGGGGCCACCCCAGCAGCCCGTGTCCTCGCCTGGTCCACAGTTAGCCCCACTGTCCTGCCTCACTTACCTCTCTGAATAAGGAGGTGGGAGCCCCCCTGAGAGAAAAGTTGCTATGCTGAGAGTAAGGAGGCTGTCAGAGTCATGCTTAAAAATTTTTAATTTAAGGTCTTGTCTTGCCACCCTAATTGTAAAGGGGTGACTGGGAAGGGGTGGTAGGGTCATGGTGGCGGCGGAGACTCCAGCCCCACTTCTCCAGGCTTTGCTGACACGGAACTGCTTTGAATTTTTATTTTTATCCCATGACTTGTTTTTTAAATCCCGTAACTTCTTATTCATAACATTTGGTAACTTTGCGTAAAACTTTTTTCTACATTTTTGCCACAATTTTTCTCTTTTTTATCCCATAACTTTTTCACTCCATAACTTTTAAAATCCCATAACTTTGTAAATTTGTGTTCTTTTAATAAACACTTGCATAGTTATATTACGATATTGTAAAAATGAAACAGATTATCTCATGCCAAGCATGCCTGGCATTTGCACAGTATCAATACCTTTAACACTATAGTTTTCAAGACTCACAAAATAAAATTTTAAGGCAAAAACAGCACTTCGCAACAACTTAATCATTTATTACATTAGAGTAGCATCACACCAGCAGTCAATAATGTCACTTTAGGGGAAAAGTCTTTCAGTATTTCCAGTATAAATTCTGTTTACAAGAATTCATAAATTGGTAAAATTCATTCTAAGAAAACTTGGCAAATAAAGTTTTAGGCTAGAATTGGCATTTCTTTCTCTACTTTTCCTTCCCACCGTTTCACACAGAAAATGGGGGAAAAGCTGTTTCCAGTTCTCGGACTTTAAACAACTCTAATGTCAGTACTCATGGTGGCATATAGTACAAAGTAATCAAGAGTGCACACTTGAGGGCAAACCACATATTGAGCTAATGAAGAGCTCACTGTGATTAAGATGAGATCCAACATAATAGCAGAATATAAGCAAATTTTATCTGAATTCTGTAATGAACATATATGCTGCAATAACATTAAAAAAGCATGGCAGCCTGTTCCAAACCAGCGAGAACAGTTTTGTGCAAACAGTGGGTCTTTGGGTGTTTGAATTCCCACCACGTAAGGGCGAACTCGATATGCATGCTAATGACCTACAATTATGAAATTAAAAACGAAAAATGCTAAAGGATGCCAGAGTGAACCTCAGTGAAGGCCACAGAGACCCACTCTCTTTTAACTTTTTACAAATAAACTTAAAGTATAAATTAGAAACACAAATAAACATGAATAGCTCTAACATTCGAATGAAGTAAATGAATTGTGTAGGAGATCAACCCCACAACTTTCTTTTTAAAAAATGTCTTGATCAGCTCTTTGATGACGGTGATGTTTATCTCCTTCTTCTCCGCAGCCAAGCCCAGCAAAAGAATGGCACGCAGCGGTTGCTGCCCAAGCCTGGGTGCTCCTGGTGCTCCTGGTGCTCCTGCGCGATGGGCTGTGCAGTGGGGTTGTCGTGGGGAGACCCCTCCGTGGCCACTCCTTGCCCAGTCCCGGCGCTGTCGCTGGGGCTCAGCTCACAAAGATCTTTGGAGAGAGGGAGGCGGGGATCTGAGCACAGTGCAAACCCCCTGCTCCTGCCTGCCCGCCCTGCTCGAGGGCTCTACTCACCACCATGCTTGTGGGCAGCCCCGAGCTCCTGGGGGGGTGGGGCTCCTGGACCGGGCTCATTATCAGGGCTCTGGGCAGCGGCCAGGAATTTTCTGTGCCCTTTGTTGCGGTCAGCACCAGCCGCAACAGCAACTCCTGCAGCTCTAGCAGCTCCACCTGGAGGGAGGGGTGCTCAGGTGTCAGGCTGCGGCCGGCCCCCACCTTCACGCCACCCCCAACCCCGACCCCTACCCCCGCAAGGAGGTTGCACACCCTACCTTCATCTCGTCGTCTTGGGCCAGCCTGATGATGTCCTCCTCCCGGTGTGGCCTCTGTGGCACGGCCCTCTGGCTCCGTTATGAGGTGTTTAATTTTCCTGCGGGAGGACGGAGCTCAGACCCTGAGGCCCCTCCGACGGCCCTGCAGCTCCCCCTGCCTTGCTCTGGCCTCCCACTCACTGATGGCATCTCTCCCTCCAGTACTGCGTGAATCGATGTTCTAGTTTCTCCACACGCTCCCTCAGGTCCGCCTTCTCCTCCAGGAGGTCCATAAGGCCGCTCTGGAGCCAAAATAATGGGGTCACCTCTCAGCAGCGACCTGCCTACCCCTGCCCTTCTTGGCCTATTCCAGGACTCACTCACCTCCAGCTTCTCCATGACTTCCTGCAGGGCCTGGGGGGTCTCCCCACTCACAGACTCGCCCCCAGTCCCTGGGGCTGGGACCGCTGCCTCTGGCTCCTTCTGGGTCGAGGTTCCTGTCTCATTCACCTGGCCCAGCTTCTCCTGCAGCTCTTCGACTTCCTGCTCCAAGTGCCGTGCGCTCTTGTTCTCATTGTTCTGGACAGAGAGAAGCAATCAGCAGCCACCCACTGCAGGTGGAGACCCTAGAACTCGGTGTCTGCCCCCCATGGCACCGGGAAGGGTGGAGGCAGGTTAGAAAAATCATCTCTTCTCTCCCACAGCCACCAGAGCAGGGCTCTGGCTCACAGGTGCCTTGAGAAGTAACATTTCACGTGAGGGCTACACTGCCCCCTTTTACAGGTGGGGAAACAAAGGCCTGGAGGGCTAGGGAGGAGGGCAGGCTCCGCAGGTGGGGCAACGCACCAGCTCCTCGACGCCGCTCTGTGGCTCGGCCAGCTGCTGAAGCCTCTCCTCCTGCCTCCCGAGCCTCTCCTTTTGTGCCTGGTTCAGGGGACTTACGTGTTGATGGTTTTCCACGTGGGCCTGGAGCTCTGCTGACACCCTCTCTAGTTCCTTCCTCAGGTGCTGCAGCTCCTCCTCGTGGGGCACTGCTGGGGGCTCCGGGGGCTGGGGTTCAGCTGAGAAAGGAAGCAGACATAAGGGCCTCTAGATTCTCAAAAACAAACGAACAAAAAACCCACCACCACCACCAACAAAAAAACCCTCCTCTTGGTGCAAGCTCCTCTCAGGCTCCCCAAACTTGGCCTCACTGCTAATGATTCCTCGCACCCGGATGGCAGCCAATCTTCCAACCGCTTTCAGATGGAGAGCACTGTGGGTGGCTGACAACGGGCCCTCTTTGCTGATGGGGACACTCAGGCTCATGGAGATAACAAGACTTGCTGTTTCCCGGCACAGACCTCTTTCCCTCTGCCTCAAAGCCCTTCCATCCACCCACCTCCCTGGGGCATTCTAAGCCACCCCCAGAGCCCCCTCTGATGCCAGGCCTGCTCCCAGGTCACACCAGCCCCATCTTACCCATCTGGTGTTTGAGTTGGGATAAGCTTCTCTCCAGCTCCTCCACCCGATGCATGTCATGCAGCTTCTCCTTCTTTAAGGTGCAAAGCTGCCCAAAGCACAGGGGAAAAGGCCCTGGAGAGAGGGGCTGGTGGCTCCACAGGCTACCATCTGCCCCTCTGCCCCCACCTCCACAAAGCCCAGACCCATGACCACCTCTGGCTGTATATTCCCATGTTACAGATGCCCAGAAAGATCCAGTGACCTATCTAAGATGGGGGGGCTGAAGGGTCAGATCTCACCTCCTGGGACATTTTCCTCATCGTCTCCTGCCACTGGGCCCTCTCTGCTTTTATATGTTCAGCATATTCATCTCTCTGTAGCTGTACTAGCTTCAGCGATTCCTTCACCTGCAAGAATGGGAACAGAAGTTACGAAGGGCTGTCACTGGTCCTCACCTGCTCTTGGCCACCAGGGGTCACCTTCCTTCCACATCCCTCCCTCTGCAAAACCTCACCTGTGTCACGTGCGCTTTCAGCAGTGCCCGCTCCTGTAAGGACCGCTCTAACTGCGTCTTGAGAGGTGTTTCACTGCGGCTCGAGGACTGGATGGTGAAGAGTGAGAAGTTTCTATCTGGGGAACCTGGGCCATTCCATACAGTGCCCCTTAAACAGGCTAGGGCTAGGCTCAATATACAACACGGTCAGTACAGATCAAGGCATTTACCCGTGGTCTGGTTTTTAAAAGAACTCAGTAAAGTTGGAAGGGACAGGGAAAGAGATCGAATTTACAGCTGCCTAACAGAGGCCCAGAGAGATCAGTTAATATTGCTCTTGTTATTACTGTTATGACTAGCACTGTTTGAACCTTTATGGAGTGCTTCACCAGGTACCATGCTAGCAATCCCATTTAATCCTCACAACCACCATAGGAGACAGTTACTATGATTCCCTCTGTTGTGTACATGAAAACACATGGAGTATTTGAGGTTAAGTGCTTGCCTAAGATCACTTAGGCAGAGCTGGGATTTGAATAGCTAGATCTATCTGATTCTCTAAGCCCATTTTTCTTGCTGGGGGACACAGATAGAAAGGGGAAACTGAATCTCTTGTTCACTGTTTGAAAGGATGATACATTCGCAAAGTCCAAAATTCAGAAGGTACAGAAGGGAAGTATCTCCCAGCCACTCTCTTGCTCTCTCCTGAGTTTTTTATGAACCTTGCAGTCTTATTTTATGTACATTTTCATAGTATGTACACACACACACACACACACACACACACGTTTTCTCTCTACAGAAATGGTAACATACTAAAGGTACTCTTCTGTACCTTCACAGTACAAGTACCCAATACCCCACCTAGGACTTGGCCAAGACCCCAGCCAGGTAAGGGCAGGGCAGGCACTTGGCCTCCAAGCTCTGTGTCCAGTGCTCGCTCCCCACCGCACCCCCCAACTCACCCACAGCAGCTGACTCAGCCCCAGGCTGCCTCTAACAACCAGACACAAAAGCAGCGAGACATGGCCATGCCGCTTTCTGGGCAGGACACTCCATCCTGCAGAAGGGACCTTTAGGCTCACTCCTCCATCTGTGAAGCCGGGCTCCCAGGAGATGGGGCAGGTGGTCAGACTCACCTTGTCCGCCGCCTTCTTCTGTGTGGCGGTGACAGCAGACAGAGCCCGCTCTAACTCTTCCGTACGCTGCGATGAACGTTGCAGGCGGGCAGCCAGATCCTTCGACTCTTCTGTAATGAGAGAGTTGAGATGGGGCCCAAAGGACTCCCACTAAAGACCTATCCAAGTGCCAGGTTGAAGGATGATAGGGTGCCCAGATTCTCACCTTCAAAGTATATGAGAGAGCGTTTCGTGCGATACACGTCAATAATTAGTTTCTTTTTCTGTACGTTCAATCTCTGGATTTGAACCTTTGGGAGAAAAGCCAAGCAAGTGCTGAAAGAGAAGGAAAGAAACATTCCCCGGAGGACAGGAGAAAACTTCACACCCTCCACTCACCTCTAGCTCCCTTTTGGCTTTCTGTTTCTCGTTGTTTGCCTTCTTTTCCTATAGGAAGAGGAAGACAGAGCTCTTACCAGAGGGAGGCAGAGGTGGCACAGCAAGAGACATGCCCCCAGAATGCCACCAATGCCCCAGGACAGGCCCACCCATGGGACCAGGTTATCAGGGACCCTGTGGGGATGGGGTGGAATCTGAGGGGTGAGCCTTCTTCCCCAGGCTGGGAGTGGGTGAGATGAGACTGGGGCCTCTACATCTGAGTGCCCCCCAAACCCAGCCATCATGTCGTGAGCAAAGAAATCACGTTACTTCTTCCAGCTGATGTTCCACTTGTTTCTTCTGTTGTTCCTGTGGGGAGAGTCAAATTAAGGTGATGGAGGGTGGTCCCCTCAACTCTATTCCCCAGGCCAGGAAGCGGTAGGCAGGGGCCAGGAATGGATTTTAAAGGCAAAGTTCTCAGACCCAACGGGAACACAAACTGGTCAACTCTCCTCAAGGTCCCAAGGACAGAGGATTTGGGTCTTTGTTGGTTTTCACCCACAGCCACAGAACTCAAAGTCTGAATCTGAAATCTCTTGAGAGGACAGGAACATAAACCTCTAGAGATGGAGTTGGAGAAAGGCCCCCCTCCTGCCCGCTTGTGATTTAGAAAAGTGCGTTCATTCAATAAACATTAACTGAGCACGTAAGGGCCAGGTACGGCTCTTCACAGTATATATAGGACGGAAAAGGACAGACAGGAGCTCTTGGCCCTGAGGTTTCCGTTCTAGGGGGCTTTTAAATCTCGGACTCTCAGAGCTAACAGACACCTTTGATACTCACTACCTCCTCTGGAAACACGAGCCCAAAAAGGAGAGGCAGCTTGTCCAGAATCAAAGAGCAAATTAGGGACTGAGTCACAGCAGAAATACGGGGCCCCTGACAACCAGTCAGGCTCGCACTTCCCCAAGAGGCAACGACCCCAGGGCGTGTGTAGCAAGGACTCCAGCAGGGGTGTGTGGAGAGGAGACAGTCGGCAAAGAGGGTAGCAAAAGAACAGCCATGGTGTGTGCTCTGGGGTCCCTCCAGGTGAGGCTTAGGCACCCCAGCTCCCCATTTGTCCTTTGCCCCATGGCCCCCAGGCCCTTTCTTCAGAGCCACAAGAGGAAACTGGAGCCCAGGATTGGCAGCCTGGAATCAGGGGATCCCACTGGACCCTTACCAAAGATTTGATTGTGTTATTCAGTCGACTGATTTTGACGGACCTCGAGTCAAGGACTACCGCTTGTTCTTGGCACGGGCTCTGAGGTGCATGCAGAGGGGAGGAGGTGGAGCAGGAGTCGGGGGAGAGGTAGAGAGAACAATCATTAGGGCTGGGGTGTGTGTGGGCTGTCTCAGCTGGCAGAGGGGCACAGAGTCCCTGCTGTGGGAGGAGGTTGGAGGGCTGGCCTGCCTGGTCACTGCACCTCCACCCAGAGCCTCCCACCTCCAGATCCTTCAGGGTAGCACATGAGGTAGGGCCCGCCCCGTGGATACCTGTTGCTGACTACAAGAGAGTACACATGGATATATTGTGTTCCCCTCAGTGTCTAAGCCCTCTGACTTCCTTTCATTTACATCAACTGGCAACATTTTCTTTTCTGCCTCTCTTGGACCCTTTGTCCCGTAACTCCTTTGTGCCAACTTCTCTCATGGCTCTTACTTCCCCACCATCCCATCCTGGGGCCTGACATCAGTGACTCCTGATGGCAAGTGGCTGTTCTTATTGTCCTGGCTTCCCCTTGAGACTGGGGATGAGGAAAATCAAAGAGCAATGACCATATCCTGGGTGCCCTCAGTGTTCACAGCAGGCCATGTACTAGGGATTAACATAAAAACAACAATAAGAAATCTCATTTAAACCTCACAAATGGAAGTCAAACAATAGAACCTCTATTATACAGATGTGTAAAAAGAGGCCCGAAAATCTCAAGCAACTTGCCCTAAATCATATCCCTAGCAGACGGAAAGGCAGGATTCAAACCCAGAATTCGTTTTTCTTTTCCTTTTTGTGAGACAGAGTCTCGCTCTGTCTCCCAGGCTGGAGTGCAGTGGCGAGATCTTGGCTCACTGCAAGCTCCGCGTCCTAGGTTCATGCCATTCTCCTGCCTCAGCCTCCCAAGCAGCTGGGAATACAGGCACCTACCACCATGCTGGCTAATTTTTTTGGTATTTTTCAGTGAAGACGGGGTTTCACCATGTTAGGCAGGATGGTCTCAATTTCCTGACCTTGTGATCTGCCCGGTTTGGTCTCCCACAGTGCTGGGATTACAAACGTGAGTTACTGTACCTGGCTACCCAGAATTCTTAACCAGTACCCAACGGTCCATCCACAATCTTAACAATTACCCTCTACTGCCCCTTTGGTCCCCTGTCCCCAGGAGCCTGGCCACCAAGACTCACATCCCGAGCTGAGTGGCAACCAGCAGAAGTGGATGTCTCAGGGCTACTGCCATTTGTTTTCCTGTTCCTCTTTGCTTCTGCTGGAACAGCAGGGCTGTTTCTCTGCCAATATTCTTTTAACTGTGGGAAAGAAGAGCAGTGATCGTCATGAGACCTATCGGCCCCTATAGCCACATCCTCCCTTACAGTTTTTACAAAATACTCTTATACACCATCTGATTTAACGACACCAACAGCTGTATAAGAGGTGTTGTCACAATCTTTTAGGGACTGAGAGGGATTGATATCATAGCTAGAAAAAGAAAAAGAAAAAGGCAATACTGGAACTTTGAAACTCAGTCTTCTGACTCCAAGCTCTGGGGTCTTGCCAAGAATCAGCAGCTGCCAGGGACCAAAGCCAGAGGCAGAGGTAGAAAAGTAAACATTAAGTAGGCAGGAACTGTATGCCCTGCGGTTTAGAGTCATACATCCTCACACGTCTGTTAGTGTGGAAGAAGTGCACCAGTACCTCTCAAACTTCTATATCAATGTATCCTCACGGCAGAAGGCAGCCTTTCTGTTAAACCCGGGAATTTATCAGAAAGAGGACTACTCAGCCTCATTTCAGAGAGAAGTCTGGTATTCTCTTAGAAACCTATGTGACTGTCATCCCTAAGTATATTCATGTTTTTTCTCTCGATCTCAAGAGAATCAAGGGAAACTGATGCTTCAGAAAGATGTCTCACATTTATCCTGTGGCATTCAAAGTACCCCAGGTCGAGATAATATGAGGAAGAGTCAAGCTGTCAAGTTCAGTTTCCCAAGATCTATTCCACAGAAGATGAGCAAATCTCACTTCAGAGACGACTGACTGAAGGGCAGTCTGGTCCCAGAACCATGGAGAATTAGAATATGAGGTGGAGAACTCAGAAAAAAACGTTAAAATCTCTCTGGAAAGTAGAAGCCTGGGAGAAAACCAAACCAAACCCATTCTCCCATTGCCACATGGAGGTACGGTCAACGTTTTGCGCTCACAGGGGAAGTGTAGGCTTTTCCCCCGTCAAGGTCGATGTTAAGGGAGTGAGGCAGCCTGGAACCTTTTGCTCCTAGGTCCCACAGTCTCCATTCCCTTTCCAGTTGGAAATTTGCACTGTGAGCAGAGGAACCAGAAATGGGGTGAGACCACTTAGGGGACTGGGTCATAAGATCAAAGGCCGGTCTTCCAGTAATGACAGTTCCCAGGCAGACTGTGACATCACTACATTCCACTCCTCCTGATTGGGGGGAGGGACCACATCAGCGCAATGTCCGAGTTACCACTCCACGATGGGGGAGGGAAACACAGGGTTGAGACCCAGGTCCTTGGAGACGCCAGTGCAAAGAGCCCAGGGAGGTTGACCTTGAGGCAGCAGGAGAGGAGGGCAGAGTCTGCAGCAGGGAACTCCAGGAGTCACCAGCCCAAAGTCACCCAGGGATGACTGGCGAGGGTGGGGCCTGGGGCTGGGGAACCCAGGTTCTTGGACACAAGAGCGCAAAGAGCCCAGGGAGGTCGAGCTTGGGTCGGCAGGAGGTGAGGGCCTAGTAATGGAGAGGGGAGCCCCAGGAGTCACCCGCCCAAAGTCACCCTGGGGTGATTGGCGAGGGCAGGGACTGGGCTGATGCTGAAGGGGAGGGCTGACTGACAAGACTTTTGCGGGGGGAGTCCAGAGGCACCTGCATTGGAGGGCCCTGTCCAGTGTACCTCAGCAGTGATATGGGCTCTGGCAGCAGTCTTGTCGTCGGAGGGGATCTGTAGCTGGGTTGGGGGCCATGACCTGGTGCGTTTTTACCTTTTTCTTGGCTGCGGCCAATCTGTTCTGTGGAGTTTCTTCTGCCATCGTGGGGCGGGAAAGGGAGGTGGGGTTGGGGCCACAACAGCGAAATCCCAGTGAGCACTGATCAAGACCTCCAGTCACCTACCAGGCAGCTGTGTGACTGAGCCACAGGAGTGGTAACCAGGGCACCAGTAGAATGTAGAATAGGGGCGTGGCCTTAATGCTCCAAGCCTATTGGTCAAGGAGAACCATGAAAGGGAAAGGGGCGTGGCCAGGCAGCAGTGTGTCCAGAAGGACCCCTGGCTCATAAGGAAAGCTACTCATGCACCTGCTGTTCCCGCCCACTCTGAAAGAGAGGAGGGGCTGCCCACTCTGGGAGAGGGAAGAGGCCAGCTTTTGCTTTAAAAGCTTTAAAACTTTAAAAAATATATGTGTGCATACTTTATATATAGATGTGTGTCTGTGTGTGTGTATCTATGTGTTTATCTAGAGCTGTCTTCATTACCCAGTTTCTATGCAAGGTCTATGGTTTTGGCCTATATTTTTATCTTCAAATACAGTACAAAATTATCAGTATTACCTGAACTGAGATACAGATCTTATAAAAATGGAAAATCCATAGCATGCTTGATGATTAATGAAGCAGACTATATTATTCAACATTCCAATAAGATAATCACAATGATTTCTCTTTTTTGGAAAAACGTTTCTCTTATTCTCCTACGTTATTGTTAAGACTTTTTTTTTTTCCTCAAACAAGAAGCATGTTTAATATCTGGAAAAACACAGAGGTTTTAGGGCCAGGTGTAGAGGCTCAAGCCTGTAATCCCAGCACCTTTGTAACCTGAGACGGGTGGATCATCTGAGGTCAGGAGTTCGAGACCAGCCTGGCCAACATGGTGAAACCCCATCTCTGCTAAAACTACAAAAACTAGCCAGGTGTGGTGGTGGGTGCCGGTAATTCCAGCTATTTGGGAGGCTGAGGCAGGAGAATCACTTGGACCCAGGAGAGGGAGGTTGCAGTGAGCCAAGCTCACACCACTGCACTCTAGTCAGGGCGACAGAGCAAGACTCCATCTCAAAAGAAATACAATACAATACAATACAATACAGTACAATACAATACAAAAGAGATTTTAAAAGCTTTCAATTTAATAAGCACTCAAAGCTCTTTACCGGTTTAAAACAAACACAAGGCCCATTTTTCTAGAATCACCTGGCCTCTCTAAGCCTTGCAAACAAAACTGAATTTCTCACTTGATACTTGGCTATCACTTGCAATCACGAAAACCAAGAATTGTGTTATGTCACTGTGTACTAATTGGTACCTGGAGTTCACACAAGGCTGGGATCAAGGGTTGAATCTTTCACGATTTGCTCCATAACCTGTGTGCTTCTTATCCCAGACCAAACTAAGCTTTTGTGTAGAGTTCTACAATTTACAGTTAGTAGACAAGAGTGGTTCTCAATAATGTAGTCTCTGGAATAGCAGCACCAGCAGCACCTGAGAACTTTTCATAAGTGCAAATTCTCAGGCCCTACCCTGGACCTGGTGAATCAGACACTCAGGAGCAGGGCTCAGCAATCTGTGCTGCAGTCATCCTTCCAGGTGTTCGGGAACCTCTGCCATACAGCAGGTAGAAAAATGTGTTTTCTTCTGTACGTCAAAAGCCAGGGATACTCTATGTTGTGTCTCGATATGCAGCAATGGCATGCAATTAAAACACATAACTCTCCTTCCTACTCCCACCCTCCATCCAATGTGTTTTATTTTCATGAGTTCCGAAAGAAAACAAGTGGCAATCAGAAGTTCAGTCAAAAAAGTATACGTACAAGTATTAGTTCTCATCCAGCCTTATCTCATAGAAAACCATTTATATCGTCTGACAGCTAGTTTTAAAAAAGTATCTTCACAATCTAAGTCTCAGGCACACTAGGAGTTCTATGATAAAACACCAAGTAGATCAGAATGTCCAAACTTACTGGAGAAGAAAAGTGGAACCATTGGCTATACTTCCAAATTGCATTCAAAGGAAATTTAAGTTCTGAATTGTTTTCACCTTCATCCTTCCAAGTGAATAGAATCCAAACAGAACACTCCATTCCTTCAAAGCCTCTAGCCAGGCACAGTTTTACTGTATTACTTCTTGCTTTCAATGGATATAAAGCAGAGTCCTGGTCGGCACATTAGGTATACCTGCAAAGATGCAGAACTAAACAGTTCCATCTGTTCTGTATTAAAACAAAAGTCCTGTAAACCTTGGACGGTGAGTGTAATACTTCAGCACTAGCACCAAAACCTCAAAGATGAGAAGATACCAAGAACAGCAGTAGCAAACAAAACTAAACTCTCTGCCAGGAGCAGTAGTTCACACCTGTAATCCCAGCACTCTGACAAGCCAAGGTGGGAGGATTACTTGAAGTCAAGAGTTCAAGACAAGCCTGGGAAGCATAGGGAATTCTCATCTCTGCAAAAAAAATATTTTAAAGCAGCTGGGCATTGTGGCACAGACCTGTCATGCTAGCTACTTGGCAGGCTGAGGTGGGAAAATTGCTTCTTCCCGGGAGTTCGAGGCTGCAGTAGCTATGATTATGGCACTGCACTCCAGCCTGGGTGACAGAGTGAGACCTAGATAATTACATTCTCTCCTGCTCCTGTTTACACCAAAATCACGAAGTTAAAATACTTTCAAATTTGCCAGGATAAAAATTAAGTGAAATGTGACTTTGGAGTTTGGAGGAAGAAGGAAGGAAGGGAGGGAGTAAGGGAGAGAGGGGTGGAAGGGAAGGAGGGAGGGAGAGAGGAAGGAAGGAAGGAAGAAAGGGGAAACAGAAAAGGAAAAGAAAGGAAAGGAAGAAGGAAGGAAGGAAGGAAAAGGAAAAAAGGAAGAAAACAAAAAAGGAAGGAAAGAAGGAAACGAAAGATAAAAGAAAAGAAGAAAAGGAAAAGAAAGGAAAGGAAAAAAAGGAAAGGAAAGGGAATGGAAGGAAGAAAGAAAAGAAAAATAGAAAGAAATAACAAATTACTGGAGGCGGAGCAAGATGGCCGAATAGGAACAGCTCCAGTCTCCAACTCCCAGCGCGCGCGACACAGAAGACCGGTGATTTCTGCATTTTCAACTGAGGTACTGGGTTCATCTCACTGGGGAGTGCCGGACGATCGGTGCTGCTCAGCTGCACCGAAGCAGGGCGAGGCATTGCCTCACCTGGGAAGCGCGAGGGGGAAGGGAATCCCTTTTCCTAGCCAGGGGAACTGAGACACACAACACCTGGAAAATGGGGTAACTCCCACCCCAATACTGCGCTTTAAGCAAACAGGCACACCAGGAGATCATATCCCACACCTGGCCGGGAGGGTCCCACACCCACGGAGCCTCCCTCATTGCTAGCACAGCAGTCTGTGATCTACCGGCAAGGCAGCAGCGAGGCTGGGGGAGGGGTGCCCGCCATTGCTGAGGCTTAAGTAGGTAAACAAAGCTGCTGGGAAGCTCGAACTGGGTGGAGCTCACAGCAGCTCAAGGAAACCTGCCTGTCTCTGTAGACTCCACCTCTGGGGACAGGGCACAGTAAACAATAACAAAAACAGCAGAAACCTCTGCAGACGCAAACGACTCTGTCTGACAGCTTTGAAGAGAGCAGTGGATCTCCCAACACGGAGGTTGAGATCTGAGAAGGGACAGACTCCCTGCTCAAGTGGGTCCCTGACCCCTGAGTAGCCTAACTGGGAGACATCCCCCACTAGGGGCAGTCTGACACCCCACACCTCACAGGGTGGAGTACACCCCTGAGAGGAAGCTTCCAAAGCAAGAATCAGACAGGTACACTTGCTGTTCAGAAATATTCTATCTTCTGCAGCCTCTGCTGCTGATACCCAGGCAAACAGGGTCTGGAGTGGACCTCAAGCAATCTCCAACAGACCTACAGCTGAGGGTCCTGACTGTTAGAAGGAAAACTATCAAACAGGAAGGACACCTACACCAAAACCCCATCAGTACATCACCATCATCAAAGACCAGAGGCAGATAAAACCACAAAGATGGGGAAAAAGCAGGGCAGAAAAGCTGGAAATTCAAAAAATAAGAGCGCATCTCCCCCGGCAAAGGAGCGCAGCTTATCGCCAGCAACGGATCAAAGCTGGACGGAGAATGACTTTGACGAGATGAGAGAAGAAGGCTTCAGTCCATCAAACTTCTCAGAGCTAAAGGAGGAATTACGTACCCAGCGCAAAGAAACTAAATATCTTGAAAAAAAAGTGGAAGAATTGATGGCTAGAGTAATTAATGCAGAGAAGGTCATAAACGAAATGAAAAAGATGAAAACCATGACACGAGAAATACGTGACAAATGCACAAGCTTCAGTGACCGACTCAACTGGAAGAAAGAGTATCAGCGATTGAGGATCAAATGAATGAAATGAAGCGAGAAGAGAAACCAAAAGAAAAAAGAAGAAAAAGAAATGAACAAAGCCTACAAGAAGTATGGGATTATGTAAAAAGACCAAATCTACGTCTGATTGGGGTGCCTGAAAGTGAGGGGGAAAATGGAACCAAGTTGGAAAACACTCTTCAGGATATCATCCAGGAGAACTTCCCCAACCTAGTAGGGCAGGCCAACATTCAAATCCAGGAAATACAGAGAACGCCACAAAGATACTCCTCGAGAAGAGCAACTCCAAGACACATAATTGCCAGATTCACCAAAGTTGAAATGAAGGAAAAAATCTTAAGGGCAGCCAGAGAGAAAGGTCGGGTTACCCACAAAGGGAAGCCCATCAGACTAACAGCAGATCTCTCGGCAGAAACTCTACAAGCCAAGAGAGTGGGGGCCAATATTCAACATTCTTAAAGAAAAGAATTTTAAACCCAGAATTTCATATCCAGCCAAACTAAGTTTCATAAGTGAAGGAGAAATAAAATCCTTTACAGATAAGCAAATGCTTAGAGATTCTGTCACCACTAGGCCTGCCTTACAAGAGACCCTGAAGGAAGCACTCAACATGGAAAGGAACAACCGCTACCAGCCATTGCAAAAACATGCCAAAATGTAAAGACCATCGAGGCTAGGAAGAAACTGCATCAACTAACGAGCAAAATAACCAGTTAACATCATAATGGCAGAATCAAGTTCACACATAACAATCTTAACCTTAAATGTAAATGGACTAAATGCTCCAATTAAAAGACACAGACTGGCAAACTGGATAAAGAGTCAAGACCCATCAGTCTGCTGTATTCAGGAGACCCATCTCACACGCAGAGACATACATAGGCTCAAAATAAAGGGATGGAGGAAGATCTACCAAGCAAATGGAGAACAAAAAAAGCGGGGGTTGCAATACTAGTCTCTGATAAAACAGACTTTAAACCATCAAAGATCAAAAGAGACAAAGAAGGCCATTACATAATGGTAAAGGGATCAATTCAACAGGAAGAGCTAACTATCCTAAATATATATGCACCCAATACAGGAGCACCCAGATTCATAAAGCAAGTCCTTAGAGACTTACAAAGAGACTTAGACTCCCATACAATAATAATGGGAGACTTCAACACTCCACTGTCAATATTAGACAGATCAACGAGACAGAAAGTTAACAAGGATATCCAGGAATTGAACTCATCTCTGCAGCAAGCAGACCTAATAGACATCTATAGAACTCTCCACCCCAAATCAACAGAATATACATTCTTCTCAGCACCACATCGTACTTACTCCAAAATTGACCACGTAATTGGAAGTAAAGCACTCCTCAGCAAATGTACAAGAACAGAAATTATAACAAACTGTCTCTCAGACCACAGTGCAATCAAACTAGAACTCAGGACTCTAAGAAACTCAATCCAAACCGCTCA